TGGACTCAAGTGATCCTCCTGCCTCAACCTCCTAAGTAGCTGGGACTACAGGTGCACAGTACCAGCCTGGCTCATCTTTCTATTTTTTTGTCAAGACGGGGTCCAGCTCTTGCTTAGGGTGATCTCGAACTCCTGGGCTCAAGCAATCCTCCCTCCTTGGCCTCCCAGAGTGCTAGGATTACAGGCAGGAGCCACTGCACCTGGCCTGTTATTTCTCTTTTTGATTATAGCCATCCTAGTGGATATGAAGTGATATAGCTCATTGTAGTTTTGATTTGCATTTCCCTGATAGCTAATGATGTTGAGCATCTTTCATGTGAATATTGCGCATTTGTATATCTTCTTTGGAGAAATGTCTATTCAGATTCTTTGCCCATTTTTAAATCGGGATGTTTGTCTTTTTACTGGTGAGTTGGAAGAGTTTTTAGTGTATTCTGGGTAATAGTCCCTTATCAGCTGTATGATTTGCAAATATTTTCTGATTCTGTAGGTTGTCTTTTCACTTTCTTAATGGTGTCCTTTGAACATTTTTTGTTCGTTTGGTGTTTTAGTTAACACATTTTTACTTTTGATTAGTCTATTTTTTTCTCTTTTTTTTTGAGACAGGGTCTCTCTCTCTGTTACCCGGGCTTGAGGGCAGTGGTGTCATCATAGCTCACAGCAACCTCAAACTCCTGAGCTCAAGTGATCCCCCTGCCTCAGCCTCCCAAGTAGCTGGAACTACAAAGTGTGTGCCACCATGCCTGGCTAATTTTTTCTATTTTTAGCAGAGATGGGGTCTTGTTATTGCTCATTTCCTATGTGGAAGGCTGGTCTCAAATTCCTGACTTTACGCAATCCTCCACCTCAGCCTCCTAGAGTGCTAGGATTATAGGAGTGAGCCACTGTACACAGCCAGAAACAAGTTCTAATGTTAAACAGGCAATTCTTGTGGTTTTTCTAAAGCTGCAGAGATGCAGAATATATATTTTCCCATTTCTCAGTTTGGGACATTTTTTATCCTTTTAACAAAATTAATATTTTTGTACATATATTATGGGTACTTTTATTCTATAAGACATATTCTCAAAAGTGGCATTATAGGGTCAAAGGTTTATCAGATTACTTTGCCCAAAGGTTGTAGCAAATTATACTCCCGCCAACTACACTTGAATTTCTTACGCTAGGGTCCAGGGGACTTCAGTAAGATCCACAAACGTTCCTGAACTTGGACACAAAACAGACTGTACATGTGGGCATATACATTTTCTTGGGGCAGGTATATATCTTTCAATAGATTTTTTTTTAAAAGTCTGAAACTCAGATAAGGCTGAAAACTAGTACACTACATCTTCTCCCTAAGGCTTTGGTCACCTTTCACATTCATTCTGCAATGTGAAAGCCTCTTTATATCTGGTTTACTAAATATTAATAGAACTAATACATGCATAAATTCAAGCACAGGAAATACAGAGATGAATGAAATTCAACCTCTGTCCACCTTGGCCTCAGTCTTTGGGGTCAGAAAGAGGGGTGGAAATCAATACAGTTGGGTATACCAGTACAACAAAACATCCTGGGCAAGCACTCAGGTATGAGGCAAGGAAGAACACAACATGCTTGGGGAAGAGTGAATGTTTCAGCCTGGTTAGATTATAGGATCTAATAGCACCAGCTTCATGAGATGAGAATAGCCAGACTGGAAGTCAGGAGGGAGGCTTAAAAAAAAGCTAATGTTTATTACACAGCCTTCCTCTTATAGATACCAACAGGCACAGAATTCTGATTTCCCAGGTTATCACTAATCACAAAGTTCCATCGCAATACCACACACAGCGAGAGGCAGTATAACACACAGATTAGGAACATGGTCTTTGACATTACCTTCCGCAATAATTTAACATTTCTGCAGCTTTGGCTTCCCTACCTGTAAAATGCAACCAATTATACCACATAGCCTCTATTTTGAGGTGCACATTTTTTCACATTTAGGCTCTTCTGAAATAGGTATAGTGTTAAAATCAATATAGTGTTTAATTTTGTAGTCTTCTTCTCCCCCCAAAGCTGTCATTAATACATCTCTTATTCATAAAGAATCTCAGGAACAAGGAAATAGGTAATACAACACTAAACCTCAGTTTCCTCTTCAGTAAAATGGAGATAATAATTCTACCCAGGTCATAGGGTTTTGTGCAGATTAACAGAGATAAAGCACATGAAACTCTTGGCAACGAACCTTCCGCATAGGAAATGCTAAAAACACATGGATGCTCTGGCGTAAAGTGTTCACAGTGACTAGACCAGAAGAGAACTGGCAGTTTGCTTGGAAGGACTCTTCTGTAAAAGCCTCTTTCATAAAAGGTTGAAGAACCTTGCTGCTAACCTGATATCTTTTCCTTGTTTAATAGATTTCTGGCAGGATCTATCAGACCTTGCAGCTCCCAGAAGTTCTACTGTTTCCAAGGTTTGTTATATCTGGCTGAAGTACACTAAACAGGCCTCTTATCCTTCCGCTTCTGTCTCTAATCTTTCTCCGACTTTGTCTTCCAGCTTCCACTCTTGCCCCCACACTACTGTCTCCTCACAATGCAACAGAGTTGTTCTTTTAAAACTCAGTCAGATCACATTACTCTTCCGTTTGAAACCTCCCAGTGGCTTCTTCTTTCTCTCAGAGTAAAAGCCTGAGAAAGAAAAAGGCAGGCCCTGACATCTGGGAACTGGTTTGACACAGCAAAGCCTCACTGTTATTAGAGGCTGGCCTGGTGCTCACAGCTAGGCCAGGTTATTCTTCTGTTGGACGCAAACAATCTCATAGAACACCAACATCAGACAAGGTCACTCAGACCTAAAAAGGTGAGATGCAACAAGGCCACTTCATAACTTCCTCTGAGCAGAGATGAGAATAAGGTCACTGTACAAGCCATGAAATATTAAACATCCTTCTCTGCTATTATGAGTGACTGCTACTTCTTTACCAATTATAGCTTTATCCTCACTCGAGTTTGTCCATCCCATAGATTATACTTATTGAGATACCCAGTCACAGAAAAACATCCTGTTCTATGACAGCACCCAATCCAAACTGAAGCCTGGCCTCCTTAAGCCCTCCCCCAAATTGTCCAAATCTTGTAATAGGTTCTTTATAATAGTCTCTTACTGCACTGTCCCAATGATTCACCCCCCAGAACCTGCTTCCTCACTGCAAGGAATAATAAACCCAACTCAACTTGTTTAAGTACAAGTATGTTCCTGATGGTCTCTGGCTGGAGGGAGGGCATTGACAAGCCAGAGTCCTTACAATTGTCTACAAAGTCCCACAGTGGTTCTTGGACTTCATCATGCACTGGAATCACCTGGAAGGCTTGTTAAAACAGATTGCTGGGCCCCACCCCAGAGTTCTGATTGAATAAGTCTAGGGTGGGATCTTAGAATCTGCATTTTTTTTTTTTTTTGGAGTCTCACTCTGTCCCCTTCCCTCACCTCCCCTGCTTGAGAGCAGAGGTGTCATCATAGCTCAGGGCAATGTCAAACTCCTGGGCTCAAACGATCCTCCTGCCTCAGCCTCCCTAGTAGCTGGGACCACAGGTGCAAGCCACCATGCCTAGCTAATTTTTCTATTTTTTATAGAGATGGGGTCTCACTCTTGCTCAGGCACTCCTGAGCATAAGCACTCCCACCTCAGCCTCCCAGAGTGCGAGGACTGCAGAGAATCTGCATTTCTGACAAGTTCCAGGTGATGCTGAGGCTGCAGGTCTGGGGATGGCTCTAGAAGACTCACTTCTCTAAACCACCTGTCCCTCCCCCTATTTCTCTGACCTAGCCTCCCACTTCTGCTTGCTCACCTCTTTCTTATCTACTGCAGCCACACTGGCCTCCTAGCTGTGTTGGGCCTCCCTGAGCACACACCTGTCTTAGGGCTCTGCTTTGGCTGCCCTCTAATTTGGAACACTTACTCCTTCACCTATCAGTGAGACCTACCCAATCTCCTTACCCTGTCTTTTAAGAATTTATTCTCCACAACACTTAATCTTCTAACATGCTGTATAATTTACTTGTTTATCACATTGTTTTGCTCTCTCTCTCTACTAATAAAAGAATGAAAACCTTAAGACGGCAGCTAATTTTGCCTATTTTAATCACTGCTGTATCCTCAGACCTAGAATAACAGCTGGCAAATAGCAGATGCTCAACAAAAGTTTTGTGAATGAATAAACTCTCCTTCCAGCCTTTTCCTCTCTTCAACTGTTGTCACAGCAGCCCTGCCTTTGGATCTTCCTATAAATACAATCACCCTCCTTGCTGCCCAACCTCTTCGCAATTACAATACCCAGCTCCTGCGACTTTTCAGCTTCTGTAGCTCAAGCCAAGGATACAGAGCAGGTAAGTAACTCACAAGTCAAGGAGACCAAACACCACCAGAAAATTACTATATCCTCCATCTCGTCTCCGCCTTCCTTCTCCAGATGACCTATCCATCAGTCTCAATCCTCTCCTTTCGAACTCTGCTTTTCACCTTTTTCCTCTTTCAACCACCAACATGGTTGAAAAAAAGAAAAAGGAAAAAAAAGTGCAACTCCCCCCACCCCGCCCCGTGCCGCGCCACCCTGATGCGACCGTCCTATTCTCTGATGAGGCTCCTCCTGACTTGTTTTCCCTTTCTACTCCCTGAAATTTTGCTTTTGAAGTTCCATTACCTCATTGCTCCTAAATCCAACTACAATTTTTGGTCTTGATCTTTTCTGATACTCCGCTGAATTTAACACATTCTTCCAGCAACTCTCTTCAAAAATACCGCGTGTTGCTTCTACCTCCTTTACTGCTTCTACTCCGGTCTTTCCTGTTCTCGTCACAGATGTCCCCAAGTTTCCTTCCAGCAAGCTGGGTCTGGCCGCGCTCTCGTCACTCACTTGCTCCCCGTTCGCGCTGCATGGGCAGCCTGACCCGGCAGGAGCGAGGGCTGAGCCTGGGGCCGAAATTTCGAGTCTGGGAAAGGGCGGGGCCTTGGAGCGCTAAGAAGTTTGGTCCTCGGCGGCTTCCATCCTGCAGCCGGTCCGGAAGAAGGTCTGGTGGCTGGGGTCGTGGGACGGCTGGAGATGGAGTTCGACTGCGAGAGTCTGAGACGGCTGCTCGGCAAGGTGCGGGCAGCCAGCTTTGGCGGGTCTGGAGCCGTGGGGTCTGAGGCGGGTGTCTCCGCCCATGGCCGCGTTGCCTCCTTTTTGCGTTTTGTCTTGGGGCTTGGAGTGGGGGCGGGCTGATATGAAGCCGGCTGTGACCGCCGGCCCCCGGGAAGCCGCGGGCATCACAGGCCACGTCCTACTTGTGGAGGGCCTGGGCTCTAGCTCCGCCTGCAACTCAGAGGTCCCCCAGCCTCCATCCACCCTGTGTGAGTCCTTCTCACACCACCAGCTTCACTGACTCAAACAGGTCCCAGCATACACTGTCCCTGTAACCACGCCTTTCTCTCTGCTGAAAGCCCCCTCCCCGCCCCCCCCCTCCTTTTTTTCCCTTGAATTGCAGAGCTCATCCTATGTAAGACCCAACTCAGAGTCACTCCCTGGAAGATTCAGTTACTGCCTTCTGTTTTCAAAAATACCAGTTTTCACACTAATTATTTATTCACAAACTTTATTCCTGCTGTGAACCCTTTTGACTACAGAGACTGCTTTTATATTCCTTCACCTTCTAGCACTATGCTTGACAACAACGTAGGTGATAAATAACTGTGCAGTGAATGAAAGACCTGAGTGGGTTTAGGAATGAAGGCAGTTTGAAGGCTCAGGAGAGATCTTCTTAATGTTGAAAGGTTGAGGAGTGGGAGGGCTGACCCAGAAATCTGACCGACATTTCTGAGGCCTGACTAGTGCGGGTTTCCAGGTTAGAAGGGGATTCTCCACCAGTGTACGGTCTGAGGAAATCCCTTTTCACCAGTTTTCTAGTTAAGCGACTCTTAATAGTTCTTAAGACTTCATGCGGAAACCGTGCTTTCTGCCATTTTTGTTGGACTTGTCTGTATCTGTCTTTGTTGGGAGAGCTTGCACACCTATGGGAGGTTTTGAAGATTAAAGTTGTTTATGTAATTGACTTGAATGATTTTATCTACTGTGACAAGCGTAGATCTTGTAGGAAGAGAAGTATCATCATGTTTAGGATTACTACCCTTTCTGTCTCCTCTTCAGAGAACATGAAATTAAAAGAACCATTCTATCAAGTTTTAATGTGGGGACGATGATGGATTATCCAATGAGAAAAATTGCTAAAGTCGCCAGTAGAAAAAAGACTACAACATAACTTTGGTGGAACTGGGATGAAGGAAAAAGAAGCGAGACAAATAGTTTTCTCAAGGGTGAGAGCAGAATAGTAGAGGAATGTTTTTTTTATTATCAGTGCATAGCATAGAGTCTGGCACAGAGGTCCTTAATAAGTATTTGCTGGATGTATAAATTAAAACTAACCAGAAACAAGTCCAGCAAATATTTCTGAGGTCCTTAGCCCTTGTACTAGGCAAATAATATAATAGCTTAACTTATAGAAATAATTTTAGTGCAGAAAACTCTGTAGAGAAGTGAATAGGACATTGAAAAATCAAGCAACTGTATGGAGAAAGTGAAAAATCTTACTAAAAACAAAACCTAAATAAATAGATATCCCAACTTCATGGATGACTCTTCTCCCAAGATTGATCTATAGGGTCAATGCAATTCCAATCAAAATTCTAGGCCGGGCGCAGTGGCTCACGCCTGTAATCCTAGCTCCCTGGGAGGCCGAGGCAGGCGGATTGTTTGAGCTCAGGAGTTCGAAACCAGCCTGAGCAAGAGCGAGACCCCGTCTCTACTAAAAATAGAAAGAAATTAATTGGACAACTAAAAATATATAGAAAAAATTAGCCGGGCATGGTGGCACATGCCTGTAGTCCCAGCTACCCGGGAGGCTGAGGCAGGAGGATCGCTTGAGCCCAGGAGTGTGAGGTTGCTGTGAGCTAGGCTGACGCCATGGCACTCACTCTAGCCCGGGCAAAAGAGTGAGACTCTGTCTCAAAAAAAAAAAAAAAAAAATTCTAACAGGTTCTTTTGGAAACTTTTCAAACTGATCGTAAAATTCATTTAGAAGGGCAGAAGACCAAGAATAATCTTGACATTATTACAGAAAAAGAATAGATGTGGGGACTTGCTCTACCAAATGTCAATACTAGCCAGGTGAGGCAACTCACACCTGTAGTCCCAGCTACTCAGGAGGCTGAGGGGGGAAAATTGCTTGAGCCCAGGAGTTTGAGACCAGCCTGAGCAACACAAGGAGACCCTGTCTCTAAAAAAAAAAAAAAAAGTCTATGGTAATTAAGGTTTAGTGTGATACTGGTATAGGATAGACAAATTAACCAATGATTCTAACCAAAAGGCTTAGAATCATATTCATACATGTTTGGAAACACAAAATAAAATAGAAGAAATATTGCAAATGACTATGGAAAGGAGAATACAAAGACAGATGATTATCCATATGGGAAAACAATGAAATTATATCCTTACCTTACACCAAACATAAAAATTCCTAGTTGATTACAGACCTAAGTGCAAAAGACAACTTTAAAACTTATGGAGATAAATGTTATGGACTCAGAATATGTAAACATTTTTAAACAAGACACGAAGAAGAGACTGATAAACTCAACTACATTAAAATTAAGAACATTTATATGTCAAGGGACACCATGATGAGAGTAGAGAGACAAGATACAGACTTAGGTTATCTGTAACACACATAACTGACAAATTGGTATCCAGAATATATAAGGCATGCCTACACATCAATATTAAAACTAATAAATAGAAAATTGGGAAAAATACATGAATAAGCATTTAAAAAAAAGAAAAAATATGAAAGTTTTTTCAATCCATTAGTAATCATGGAAAAGGAAATTAAGACATGCTCAACACCATTTTCCCTCACTAGATTGGCTTTATGTCTGTTTTATTCTTTCAACAATGTTTTGTAGTTTTCAGAGTCTTCAGTCTTGTGCCTTGTTAAATTTATTTCTATATATTTTATTCGTTTTGATGCTATTGTAAATGCAATTGTTTTCTCAATTTTATTTTCATAATAGACTCTTAATACACTTTTTTTCCTTTCATATAATCTTCACCACAAGTCTAGGAGGTGGGTATTATTTCTTTTTGCAGATGAGAAAATAAGTTCAAAGAATTTAAATGATTTTGCCCACAAGGCAGCCAAGTTAGTGTTTCTGGGAGGACATCTGGATAAATGAGGAGGCAGTTCACTCAACCGAGTGCAAACCCTTGCATGCTCTTGTTTTGCCTTTGAAACCCAGGATGCGGTACCAGGAAGGTGGGAGAGGAAAATCAAGATGTCTCAAGTGAATAAGCTATTCGAGATTGTGTGAGAGGGGTTATTCATTCTACCCTATCTCTTAATCCTTTAGGAGGTATTTGGAGGCAGTTCGATTTAGTGATTAAAGGTCTAGGTCCTGGGTTTGGGCTCTTGCTTTGCTATTTAACTTGCTAACTGACTGAGCAAGTTACTTTGATTTTCTAGCTTTTGTTTTCTTCTGCAAAGTAGAGCAGTTGTAAGCCCTCCCTGCCTCATAGGGTTGTTCAAAAGATTAAATCAAATATTCTATTCATGTTTGTAAAGCTCAGAGCCCAGGGCCTAGCACTTAATAAATGTTCAGTTAAGTGTTATCTGTTGCTCATAGCTTTATTCTTACTCCATGCTCATTTTTCTCTTTTCAGTACAAGTTCAGGGATCTAACTGTGGAAGAACTAAAGAATGTAAATGTATTTTTCCCACATTTTAGATATTCCATGGACACCTACGGTAAGAACTATATCTTCTAGTTTTTGCTGCATTATTTGAACCATAATTAGTCTAGAGAGCTGCAAAATCATAATTTCTTACTTCTCTCCTTTGTCCTCTAATTTTGAGCTATACTTTGTGACCTGTGATTTCTGAGGAAATTTAAATTAATACAATATAGATTGTATTAGTTTTCTATTGCTGTGTAACAAATTACCACAAACTTAGTGGCTTCAAAAAAAAATTTACCATGTTATAGTTTTGTAGACTAGAAGTCTAACACAAATTTCTGTAGCTTAGAAGTTTAACTGGAAATTCAACTTGGCTAATCGCTTCTTGGCCTTTGGGCTAAGATCACGTGTAGAAATTCGACTTGGCTAAAATCAAGATGTCAACAGGTCTTTGTTACCGGAGGCTCTAGGGGATAATCTGTTTCCTGGCCTCTTTCAGTTTCTAGAGGTCACCCACATTCCTTGGCTCTTGGTCTTTCTCTGTCTTCAAAGCCAACAGTTTTGCGTATCTCTAAGGTTCTTCTGTTGTTAGAGCTCCCTCTGACTACAGCTGGGAAAGGTTCTCTGATTTTAAGAACCAATGTGATTAGATTAGACGCACCCCAACAATGTAGGATAATTTCCCCATCTCAGGATCCTTAATTTAATCACATCTAAAAAGTCCCTTTGCCAAGTAAGGTGACATATTCACAGGTTCCAAGGATTAGGGTATGTACATCTTTGGAGGACCTTTATTATGCCTACCGCATAGATGGTTGATTCTAAATTATTAATAACAAAGTTTTAGTTATCCTACTCACTTAATAGAGAGGATCTGGTTATCTAAGAAAGACTTTATTATCTTTCAAAAGTTTCTGACTACAACTTGTGGTTAGAAATACATTTTATATCATGATCCCATATGCACATAACTAAAATACTATGACCACTCTGGCATTTTTTCTCTTTTGTTCTATCTAGTTCCATCCACTCCATTTAAAAACAAATGCTAGTTGAGACTCGCTAAATAGATTTTAGGACCCAAGAATTAGTCAAAACTCACAGTTTTGAGAAACTTTATTAGACATGTATATGTTTTAAATTTGAATTATTTTGGGTTAAGAAAATGTATCTAATTCAGATTTATGTAGTAGACAT